CTGTCTCTGTCTGTCTGTCTGTCTCTCTCTCTCTCTCTCGTCTCTTCTCTCTCTCTCTCTCTCTCTCTCCTCTCTCTCTCTCTCTCTCTCTCTCTCTCTCTCCTCTCTCTCTCTCTCTCTCTCTCTCTCTCTCTCTCGTTTTTTTTTTGCTTCCCTGGTTTTGAGAGTGTATCGAGATCGTTGCGGCGTTAAGAGAAATTATTTTTGGATTTGCTTTGGTCTGTCTCCTTTTCTCCGGCGCGGCTTCCTGAAACCCTTTGTTGCGGAGACAAAGTGTTCAGCCGAGAGTGAAACGCCTTTTAATGTTTCTACGATTAGGGGGCCATTAATGTTATTCATATCCTTTGCTTTTAATGTCGTCCTTTTGTGAGTGGATGTCTCATTGTACTGCACACGGGTGACGACGCACGCACGCTTACAACAGCCAGTCCCCAAGGCCATAGGGTGTACCGTGAGTAATAAGGTTGTTCTATTTTTGTGTCTCGTTGACGACCGGCAATTAACGAAGTTCTTGTATCTTGTTCTTTCCAGGTACGTGGTGGAGGACGCTCGTGGTAAGTGCTTGCTCGCTCGCTCGATCGCTTGCTGCAGACATCCTCCCTCCCTTGTTACGAGGAATTTTGTCATCTGTTATGCTGTGTAGGATGCTTGTAATAGCGATTTAGGATGCTTGTAATAGCGATTTATTTTTTTTTTATGGGGGTGGGGGGTTGGGTTGCGAGAGAGTGGCGTTGCGGTAGAGTGGGGTGGAGTGTTGTGGGGTTTCAGCAAATGGGTAATTGATGAAAAGTGTAGTCTTGCGGGCGTCGGGAGGGGGAGGGGGGAAGAGGGGAAGAGGAGGGGATGGGGGGAGGAGGGGAAAGAGGGAAGGGGAGAGGAGGGGGAGGGGGAGGGGGAAGGGAGGATAAAGAGATACCAAGTTCTCAGCAGTTAAGGAGGAATTAGATGTGGTTGTTGAAGATCGTGCAATCCCGACTTATTCTGGTGATTTTTTTTTTATATATATAATGCGTAGTTTGTGGCCGGCGGCGATTCATAAAGTGCGCCGAACACGGGAACTTTTGTTTACGACACTTCACACTATACGCGACTTTACTTGTGTTTTTTTCTTTGACGGATTTATATTTATAGTAAAGCATTCATGAAGTGTGATAGGCGGGTTGTTGTGGATATCTTTTTTTTTATAGATATCTTTGCATTCCTTTTGGGTCCGAACAAGTAGAAGATAGAAAAAAAAATCCTTGGTTGCATCTCTTTTAATTTATCTTTGTGTGAAGGAGGCATGTAATTTATGGTAAATATTTTTTTTTTTACTGTCGGGTATTTTTTTGTATTAAACTTGTTAACAACTTGTCTGTATTGAATTTTCATTAGAATGTTGGCAGCCAGTTTTGAAGTTGATTAACCGAAGATGACGTTTGAAGATAACGTTTCTTCTTTTTTTTTACCTTTTTATTATCGTTTTTTTTATTGTTTCTTTCTCGATTTATTTTTATTTTCATTTCCCTCTTTCTTTTCCTTTTCTTTTTCTTTCCTTCCTTCCTTTATTCATCGTCCTTTTCTTCTTCTTCTGCTACTACTACTTTTTCTCCTTCTTCACAATCTTCTCCACCATCTCCTCTCTCTTCTTCTCCCACATTCTCTCTTCTCACCATTCTTCCTCTCCTTGTTCACATCTCTCTCCGTTTCTCCACATCTCCTTTCCTTCTTCCTACCATCTTCATTCCTTCTTCTCTCTTCTTTCTCCTCTTCTCTTCCTCTTCTCCACTTCTTCCTCTTCCTTCCTTCTCCACATCTTCTATCTTCTTTCTTCTTCTTCTTCTTCTTCTTCTTCTTCTTCTACTTCTTTCACGCAAAGAAATTTCGGAAAGGAGGAGGCCCCACGTGGCTGCCTCGAACGCCGGCCCACTGCTCCTCCTCCGCCGCCGTCTCCCTCAGGAGGTCATTACTTGGCCATGGCCGGCCGCGTCGGAGGACCATTTTGACTTAACAGCTGATCGATCTTCTGCGTCGGAGGAGGAGCCTCGGGTCCCGCTGGAGGGTGTGAAGGAACGCGGCGGATGAATGTCAACAGTTAGAGGGAACGGATCTCGTTTTTTTTTTTTTTTTTTTTTTTTTTTTTTTTTTTTTTTTTTTTTTTTTTGTGGAAAAAGATTTGGATTTGGATATGTAGTTGTGTTGGAATGTCGTTTTTTTTTTTTTTTTTTTTTTTTTTTTTTTTTTTTTTTTTTTTTTTTTTTTTTTTTTTTGAAAAAAGATGTTGATATGTACGTGTGTGTGTGTGAATGTGTTTTTTTTTTTTTTTTTTTTTTTTTTTTTTTTTTGGGGGGGTTGATTTTTTTTTAGGTTTTGATTTTTTTTTTTCGTGTCTGGGGGTTTTCATATATGAATGGCATTCTATGTATGCTTTTGATGTTTTTTTTTTGCATAGATGTATTTTTTATCTGTTTATATTTTTTATCGCATTCTTTTAGTGTAACGAGCTATATATGTCTATATGTGTACATACATACATGCTTACATACAGGTATACATGCATACATGTATACATGAATATATGTAAACATGTATACATATATACATACATACATTCATTCATACATACATACTACATACATACATGCATTACAATACATACATATACATGCATACATGCATACATGCATACATATATACATACATACAATACATGCCAATACATGCATAATATATACATTCAATGCATACATACATACATACATACATACATACATACGTAAATACATACAATAATTTAAGTAAGAATTTGATTTCTTCAGCTTTTAATGCTTCGCTCTCGTCATCTGTTGAGCACTGTATGGTATGCCTATCTATACTTCTTTAAGACTCGGAATGACAGAACTGCAGTGGCTGAGAAGGCGGGTGAATGTTGCCCGGATTAATGTAAACAATAATAATAAATTAATAATAAATAAATAATAAATAATAGATAAATAATAATAAAGTTAAAATAGAGCAGGATGTTAGGATGTAAATGGGCTTGCTCGGGGCCGTGATTTCTTCGCAGAGCCTGCTTGGGCCCTTCCGGCAACAGGTTCCTCGTGCTGGTGTGTGTCGGATTATCTTGTCAGCATTAGAGGAAAATGCGTTTGATTTATATAAATGTGTTGTTCGTTATACCTGATCGGGCGCAGATATGTACACGCGTATGTAAGTACACGTGTAGAAGTGTATGTATATTCATATTGCAGGTGTATATTACACATAGATATAAATATAAACATACACATAAACACACGCACACGCACACACCTACCCACCCACACACACACACGCATACACACGCATACACACACAACACACACACACACACACACACACACACACACACACACACACACACACACAACCACACACACACACACACACACACACCACACACACACACACACACACACACACACCTTCACACACACAGCACACACACCACACCACACACACACACACCTTCACACACACCACACGACAACCACACCCCACACACACACACACACACACACACACTCACCACACACACACACACACAACACACACACCACACAACACACACACACACACACAACACACACACACACACACACACCACACACAACTTCACACACACACACCCCCCCCTTCACCACACCTGCCAGCGACAACACAACCCACACACCTACGCATACAAACACACCAACACGTATACTTACACTTCTACCTGCAAACACACACCTATACTTACACACCCTGTCAAATTCTCGCCTTTTTGGAGAAAACGGTCTTACGGTAAACATCCGGGCTCCGAGGACTTGAGAGAATCCGGATAAATAAGACGCTAGATGACTGGTTGCAGCGGTTAATGGCGTGCTGTGGTACGCCCCTACCCTCCCCCCCCCCCTCCCCCCTTGCTCCTCTTCCATCCCTGCTCCCCTCTTACTCCTCCTCCTCTCTCTTCTTCTTCTGCCTCCCTCCACTTTCCTCATCTCATCATCCTTCTTCTTCTCCTTCTTCTACTCCTCCTCCTTGTCTTTCTTCTCCCCTCCTTTTCCTTTCCCCTCCTTCTCCCTTCCCCCTTCTCCATCACTCCTTTTTTCTTTCCATTTTCTCCCTCCTCCTCTTTCCTTCTTTTCCACCTCCCCTTCTCTTCCCTCCTCCCTTTTCCTTCTCTCTTCCTTTTCCTCCCCCCTTTCTCCCCTCCATCCCCTCCTCCTCCCTACCCCCCTTCTCCCTTTCCATCCCACTCCTCTTCTCCATCTTCCCTTCCCTTTCTTTCCCCTCCCCCTCCTCTCCCCTTCCATCTCCCCCTCCCCCTCCCCTCCCCCTCCCCTGTCCCACGAGGTCCTTCACCCTTCGGACAGCGCCGACCTTGTAGGGCGTGTTGTGGGCTGAGTCCCGGTGCTGGGCGTGATAGAGGGGGAGAGAAAGATAAGGGTGGAGAAAGCTGGGTGTGCGATAGAGAGATAAAGGAGGGAGAAAGAGAGACATTTGCAAATAGATAGATAGTCGGAGATTGTTGTGTATTCATGTGCATAAAGAAACACGTTTTGGGGGCGGTGGTGAGGAGGAAGAGAGAGAGAGAGAGAGAGAATGAGGAAATGCATGAATAAAGGGAGAGGAAAAGGAGGAGACGCGGATACGGAAACGGGGGTAATGATATAAAAATACACGGATCGTTGCACGGATGTTGATGTCGAAAAAAAAAACTTGTTTATCCTAGGAAATCTTAAGTATATAGAGAAAAGAGAACAGCGTGCTATATGCCACATTGACTTAAACGTTTTTTGAAGTGTTTTTGTAATAGAACGAAATAAAAAAAGCATTATTTTGGGAATGATTTTGTCAGTGAGACTCGTTCGTGGAGGCCGTTCGTCCGCGTGGCCCGAGCCCCGGGATTCGGAGGGTCGGGCGGCGGGCGTCGAGGGAGCCCCAGCCGTGTTCCGTGTGGATGTCGAGTTCCTTGACCCTACTCCAGTCCGGTGACCTTGTTAGGCGGAGGGCAAGGCGTGGGCAGTCCGGGCGGGAGGAGGCCTGGGATGGCACGCGCGGCCGGTGCCTCGGCTTTTCCAGTTGGTACGCACTGCGGCGTCATTCGGGTCTTCGTCGCGGCCGCAACGGGGGTTCCGACGGTCGCTGTAAGGAGGTTGGGTCGCGGTCTGAATCTGTTGCGGCCGGCCTGCAGGTGTGGGCGGGTTCCCGATCTGGTTCATTCCTCGTGGGCCCCGTATAAGGACGCGCGGGGACGGGTTTCGGAGGGCGTCTGCTATGAGCCCGGGATCCCTCGTGGCTCGCGACGCCGCCTGGCTTTGTTTTGGTCGCCGCGTCCTTCCAGCCGGACGCAGCCTCGGGGACGCGGGACCGACCCTGGCCGATGCCGGGACTCTGTCTGTCCTTGGGAACACGTTCGGGACACGAACGCGCGGGGAAGGGGTGGGCTCCGCGTCCCGTGCCTCGATCCTTACTGGTTTAGGGGCGGAGGGCAGGCGGGCGGTGCCGCCGAGTGGGCGTTGTCGAGGGATAAACGATTCCACGCGGCGAGAAACTGAAATCTCAAGCTCCTGTTTGTAGTAGTAGTAGTAGTAATAGTATTCGTAGTAGTGTTGTTGTTGCTGTTGTAGCTTGCGTTGTTTTCCATGCTGAGTGCATACTTCTTGTTAGCAAGAAAAGTGGGTCTGTGCAAATTAGACTCCCGCCTTAAGCTTACGTCGTATTTGTGCGGACGAAAAGAAATATGGAAAAAAGCTCTACAGACGGTATGAATTAGAGAGAAACGGCAGTCCAGTCAGCGCCAAACAAATTAACCCGCAGCGCTTTTCTTCACTGATGAAAAACAAGCTCTGCTGATCTCAGTGCAAGCAACGCACGGTGCTTGACGGCGGTGCAGTGCGCGGCGTGGGCGGGGGCTCTCAGGCGTGAAGTCTGCATCTCCGCCGCTCGGGGAGTGTGGGCGGAACGTGGGCGTCGCGCGGTAGTTCCGACGAATAATCTGGCTGCTCATTGCGCGGATGAGGGCGTTGGGGGCATGTCAGCGCGCCCTAGACGCCCACTGCTGAGGGAAGCGGTCCTGCCGAGGCAAGGGGCGCACGCGGGCGGGAAAGGGTGTTTGGGTTTGGGCTTGTTTGCGGTCGGGCGCCTCGGCTTCTTCTCCCTGCTGTTGTGGGGTTTGTTTTGATTTGCTCCTGCACCCTTCTCTCTTCCCTCCCTCCCCCTCCCCCCCCTTCCCCCTCCCTCTCTATGCTTCCCCCTCCCTCTCTTTCCCTCCCCTCTCCTCCCCTCTCCTCCTCCTCCTTCCTCCCTCCTCCCTCTCCTTTATTATTGATATTATTTTTCCTCCTTCTTCCTCCCTCTTTTCCTCCTCCTCCTCTCCTCCTCCTCCTCCTCCTCCTCCTCCTCCTCTCTTCGCCTTCCTCCTCTTTCTTCTCTTCTACCTCCTCCTCCTCCACCTCCACCACTACTCTCTCTTCACTACCTCCTCCTCTTCCTCTTCCTCGTCTTCTTATTTCTCCTCCTCCTCACCACTCCTCTCCTCCTCTCTCCTCCTCTCCTCCTCTCCTCCTCTCCTCCTCCTCCTCCTCCTCCTCTCTCTCCTCCTCCTCCTCTCCTCCTCCTCCTCCTCCTCCTCCTCCTCCTCCTCTTCTTCTCTTCTCCTTTTTTCTTGCACCGTCACTCCAAACCGCCAAGCTGTCATAAGCGCAACGTCTCCGGGCCTGGCAACAGCAACACATTATCGTGGGTGGGAGCATGCGGGCGGCGGCCGGCGGGGAGGCTTTTAGGGGTTTAAGGGTTTAAGGGTTTAAGGTTGTGAGGGTGTGGAGGGGTTTAAGGGTCTAAGGTTGAGGGTGTGGGGTGTGGAGGGTTTAAGGGGTTTAAGGGTTTAAGGGTGAGGTGTGGGGGTGTGAGGGTGTGGAGGGGTTTAGGGTGAGGGTGTGAGGGGAGGGTGAGGGTTTGGAGGGTTTAAGGGTTGTAAGTGTGAGGGTGTTGTGAGGGGTTGTAGGGTGTTTTGGGTTATAGGATTTGAGGGTTTAAGGTTGTAAGGGTGTGAAGAGGTTTAAAGGTTTTAGGTTATAAGGTGTAAGGGATTTAAGCTTTAAGGGTTTAAGGTTGTGAGTGTATGAAGGGGTTTAAGGGATTAAGGTTATGAGGGTGTGAAGGGGTTTAAGTATTAAGTTTTAAGGTTGAGGGTTTAAGGGTATGAGAGTGTAAAGGGTTTGAGGGTCGAAGTTTATAAGGGTGTTAAAGTGTTAAAATTTTTGAGTGTGTGTAAGTCTTCAGGGATTTGATTAAAGTTTTAGGATGGAAAGTGTGTCAAGGTTTTAAGAGTTTCACGGTTGAAGTGTCGAAGGGTTTAAGGGTTTTAAGAGTTTAAGGGATTAAGGGTTTGAAGAGTTTAAGGGCTTAGGGTGTATGAGGATGGAGTTGAAACTGTAGCGAGAGACGCTGGTCGGACCCTGCAATAAACCATAAGTCTTTTGTTATCTTTTATCTCTAGTTATGGTGCTTTGTTTCTATGTTTTCAGGCGTTGGCGTGTGTTTTGTTTGTGTTGGTTGAACTGGCTATTTATTTTATATTTTCTTTTTTGTTTTTGTTTTGTCATGTTCTTCATTGTTAGTATATTCGTTATCGTTATCATTTTCATCATTACCATCGTGGTCATCTTTTTTATCTTCATCATCATCACCATCATCATCATCATCATCACCATCTGAGGAAGAGTGTGGGTCCGTAGCCAAAATATTCGATACATAAAAAAAGAAAGTAAGAAAGAGAGAAGAAAGAGAGAGAGAAGAAAAAGAAGAAGATTGAAGTTCCTAATTGGGAAACGGTTCTTTTTGCCGCGTGTGTTTTGGGATTCGGGTCAGATCATCTTATCAGTTTTAATGTCTGTGTTTTGGCTACTGGCATGTGTCCGGAGCCGATAAGGGCGAGTCAGCGGCGAATGGGGGAGGAGGGAGGGAGGGAAGGGTGGAAGGAGGGGAGGGGGAGGAGGAGGGGAGAGGGGAGGGGAGAGGGAAGAGGGAAGGAAGGGGAGGGGAGAGGGGGGAGGGGGTAGGGGGAGGGGGGGGGGAGGGAAGGGAGGGAGGGAGGAAGGTGGTTGCGGCTTGACTCTGAGCCGTGAATGTGGAGGTTGTATTACTATCGTGTGTAGGGTAGACTTGTTTATTCTTTCTTTTCTTGTCTTCTCTTTTTTTTTTCTTTTTTCTTCATTTTCCTATTCTTTCTTCTTCCTTCGTCTCGTCGTCGTCCTTCCTCCTCTCCTCTCCTCCTCTCCTTCCTCCTCCTCCTCTCCTCCTCCTCCTCCTCCTCCTCCTCCTCCTCTGCTGCGTCTTTATTTTCTTTTTCTTTCTTCCTTCTGCTCCTTTTGTTTTTTCCTCTTCCTCTTCTGCTTCTTTTTCTTCTTCTCTCGTTTGCTTCCGTTGGTTCCGGTCGCGAGGCATCGGCTATAGCAAATTGTAAAAGGACGAACATCGTAATTACGTTAATAGCGTATTAGTCACGTGCAGTTGTAAGGTGGAACTGCGTGGCTGGCAATCATGTTAATATGTATATACAACTCGTATGTATTTGTAAGTAGGTACTAATTGGTAATTATTTTTATGCGCTGCGGATGATTGTAGGTACGAACTGATAATTTGCTAAAAACGTCCTTGGGATAAGGAGAAGGAGGTACTAACTGGCAGTTTTCACTAAACGTACTTGTTAGATGTTGTTCGAAGCAGGCAGTAGGTGGTAATTATGATAATATATACTAGTCTTTTGTAGTTGCAAGTAGGTACTAACCGGTTTGCACCCGTTTGATAGTTATCCAGACAGGGCTGGATATTCTGTATTAATATCCATTAGCACGGTCACATCATAAAGTAAATATGCATATGCGTGCATCCTTTTTTGGACCGCGTTGTGTTTGTCTGTGTTTGTGTGTGCGAGCGCCATCGTGTGCGTTGCTCGCGTCCATTCGTCTTGTTATCCGTGGGTAGGTGTGTTTTTTTTTTTTTTTTTTTTTTTTTTTCCATCTTTACGAACGCCAGTCTCTGGATCAGCCCCGGGCACACGCTCAGTTCATCACTTATTTGTAGGAACGGCACACAACACACACACACAACACACACACACACACACACACACACACACACACACACACACACACACACACACACACACACACACACACACACACACACACACTCCTTTTTCGAATTCGAGAGACTGTGGGTGCTTAAAGAACGACATGCTTATTCATTTGATGTCTTGGTTTGTCTGTGAGAGGCGGAGAGGATGGGGTGGGGTGGGGGGGGGGGGGGAGGGAAGATGCTTCATATGGCGGGGAGGCAGTTTGTTTGTCGGAGGGATGAATCAGAGCAGGCGGGGGAGGCAGGTGGCAGGAGGATGAGTTGAATTGGATGACGTAGGGGGAGGAAGGGGAGGAGGGGGCTACGAGCGAGTGTTGATTCATTCCAAGGGGAGGGAGGGAGGAGGGAGGAGGGGAGGGAGGGAGGGAGGGAGGGAGGGAGGAGGGAGGAGGGGAGGGGGAGGGAGGGGAGGAGGGGGGGCGTTGGTAGTGAAGGTGAAGGTGAAGGAAGGAGGAGGAGGAGAGGAGAAGGGGGCAGGTAATGGAAGCAGCGGTGGCAACAGCAGGAGAAGATGAGGAGGGAGAGGAATGATAATAATAATAATGATAATAGTAATAGAAACAAAGATGGTGATGATGATAATAATGAGAAAAGGGGAAACAGCAGCAGAGGATGATGATGATGATGATGATGATTGATGATGATGAGATTGTGATGGTGAAGAATGGATGTATGATTCTGATTATTGCTAATAGTATGAATTAGTTTCAATAGCACAATGAGGCTAAGAAGGAGAAGGAACGAGAAAATAAGAAAGAAGAGAAGGAATCAAAGGAGGAGGAAGAATAAAAAAAGTTTAAGTTGTAGTAGAAGAAAAGGAAAACGAAAAAGAAAAGAAGAAGAAGAAGAGGAGAAAGAGAAGGAGAAGAAGGAGAAGGAGAGAAGGAGGGAGAAGAGAAGGAAAGAGAGAAAAAAGAAGGAGAAGGAGAAGGAGTGGTGGTGAAGAAGAAGAAGAAGAAAAACAACAAAAACAACAAGAAGGAGAAGAAGGAGAAGGGAGGAGCCACAGCGTCATGTGCGTCGTTGCGGGCCAGAGGTGACCTCCGTGGCACAGAGCCAGGTCCTTGTCCTGCGTCGCTCGCCGATATAAGGTGTCCTCCTACGCGGCCGCCCTCGCCCCGCCTCTTGGGCCCGCGTCCTGGGTGTCCTCTTGGCCGCCTCTCGCTCCTCGTCTTCCTTCGTGTGGGCGGCCCTTTTTAATTTTTTTTTTTTTTTATTTTTTTTTTTTTTTCCATGCCCTTCTTTGTCTTTTTTTCTTCACGTTCTTTGGTTTTCTTTGTTTGTTAGTTCTCTTTATTACTTTTTTTTTGCTTTGTTTGTGTCTCGTTCTTTCTCTGTTTTCTCACTCTTTCGTATTCCTTTGTGTGGGCGGTTCTTTTTTGTCTTTTTTTTCCTTCACGTTCTTTGGTTCTCTTTGTTTGTTAGGGTCTCTTATTATGTTTTCTCTTTGTTTGTCAGTTTTCTTTTTTATCTTTGTTTGTTTCTCATTCTTTCTCTGTTTCTCACTCTTTCGTATTCCTTTGTCTGGGCGGTCCTTTTTTTTTGTCTTTTTTCTTCACGTTCTTTGGTTCTCTGTGTTTGTCAATTTCTCTTTATTACGGGTTTTCTCTTTCTATGTTTCTCATTCTTTCTCCGTTTCTCATTCTTTCGTATCGTTTTCTGTCTTTTCTTTCTTTGATTCTCATGTTTTCGTGGTCTTTCATATTTTCTTTATTTTTTCTGGCTGTCTTTTCCGCCGTTTTTCTTTATTCTTGTTTTTTCTGTTTTCTCCTCTTCTCGGTCTTTTTTCCTTCGCCTTCTATTTCACTTTATCTCTATTGTTCTCTCTTCGTCTCGCGTCTTCCTCCTCTTCCTCTACATCGTTCTTTT